CGGACACCCAGCATTTGATGGAAACTAAAAAACCAACCACGCAATCAGAATGGTCCCTTGGCTCACCCAGGATGTGCCAGCAAAATGTCTGCTTACACTTGTCACTCAGCATTTCATTGTTCCCTCACCCCTCAACTAACTGAGAGCAAACTGGGGCCAGGTACCACAGGACAATTTTTCTGTGACCTCCAGGTGGCCTTGCTGAGCCGGCTTTTATAACGTGAGCTTAATGAGTATTTGTTTGAGTAGACATTATTAACCTGGTGATTGCGCAGGAAATATCAGTGGGTGGAAGAGTACAGCTTGTCCCTCTCTAATGAGGATAATTATAGAATGATAGCAGCAGAATATCACGAAACAAACGGAGTGTTTTTAGATGACACACATGTGATAAAGGAATTGGTATTTTTTAAGGGCTTATCTTTCGGTGTGATCTTGACAGACTAGAAAAAGAATATATAATCAGACCGATTTCTTAAACACAATGATGAGTGGTGTAATTACAGAACGAGTAACAAATACAAAGTAGGGTATAAATAGAAAGATTCTGACGAGGCTCAAAGGATGGAGAATTTTAGCCAATAAAAATCCCAATTCTCCCGAAAGTCTTTTTGTTTTAAGTTAGCTATCCTGGTTGGCGTGACTGACTGATGTTTGTTTGTTCATTCATTCAGTAGGTTATCCAGGTTCCTACTATGTGTAAATTGTCTAGCAGGGTATCCTGGGGATACAAGAAGAAATTAGTGAAGTTTCTTTCCTAGAAGAGTCCCAAGATTGAAGGGAGAAGACAAAGAAGTATACAAATTATTCTATTACAGAGAGAGGACTTACATCACAGCTGAGTCATCAAAGAGGACAGTGACTATGAAGGACATCTTTGTAGCCCACCGGGACAGCTGTGCTGAAGCAATGGCAGAGGGCCAGCACCCAAGAGTAGCTGGCTGGAAGCATCAACATGGAGGGCCATCTCATGTCTCAGAAACTCCTTGCCCTGAATACCCAGGTTTCTGTAAGCACCTGGGTTCTTGTAGAATACAATCAAGGGGAGGAAAAACCCCCAGAGTGGCCAATTTCTACTTTGTCAATTACAGGTCTCACCCCATATTTAGTTTCTCTTAAGAAAACATTTCTCAAAGTCAAGTGTCATGGATCGACACATCAAAATTCTTGGGCTGAGGAGATGGCTGAGTGGATAAAACACAAGGCATGTGAGCGTGAAGGCTAGAGTCTGGATCTCTAGAATTCACATAAAGCGGGATGTGGGATCGGTCGTGTACATGTGTAATCCCAGTGTGCAGCTATGACTAAGTGGGGACATGAAAGTCTCTAGGAGCTCATGTGTTAGCTCGTCTGGCATATGCTGAGGTGAACAATAAGAGACCCTGCCACAAACAAGGTGGAAGACCAAGGACTGTTACCTGAGGTTGTCCTCTGATCTCCACATGCATACTGTGGCAGGCAGTGCCACCAACATACACATAAACATGTGCATACACATACACAATGTACACATACACATTTCAAAACAAATTCTTGACTTAGGGTGACATTTTGCATAGAGGATACAGTGTCTCTCAAGAGTGTTATAGTTGTTTTTGGTAGGCAGGCCTTGCTATCCAGAGTATAACTACCTTAGGAGAAATACCCTCAAATGTGCAAAACATGACAATCTTGCTTACTGTCATGAACAAATCCTTCCAGCCAGGAACAAGAGAATACAGAAAACAAACTCAAGCTCTCGCTAAAATCATCCTCAAACAACAGATCCCCCTTTCAGTATTATGATCATACCATGATTCAGTCACCAGTAGGGGAAGAATGGCTTTTTAAAGTCAGGAAGAGAGATTGTTCAGGTCATGAAATACACACAGGGCAAACTCCTGAGGTGTCTGTGTTCAGTTTTCATCTACAATATTCACAGTACAGAAAGCTTTAGCCAACATTTTCTTAATCAAGTTGAATGTGCTGGGCCATGCTCTCTACAGTGATGGGTTTGAGCAAATGGCAAAAAGCACGTGCATAACTGTTTTCCTTGGATCACTGTAATGTGACATTTTAGAAGAGCCTCATCCAGTTGAAAAATGATGTCAGCAAGGAATCTGTTGCCTCCTGTGCCCTCACTCTACAAATACATCCGTGATAAAACCTTAGAGCAAATGGCTTGAGCCAGTGCTACCCACTTACTATCACTGTGAATTTTGTCTTTAATATACCAGTGTATATAAAATCTGAGGATTAATAATGCATTATGAAAGGAAAATCTGATTTTTTTAAAAAAAAGTCAATATATCAAAATGTCTAAATAGTTCACCATTGGTATACAAATGTAGGATTAGAAAGTCCCAATATTATACATAGATGGTAGTAGAAAAAAAACCTGAGGAACTGAAAATATGACAATTATTTTTTTTAAAAATTCCATTAGTTAACAAAATTCCCCTAAGGAAATTTAGGGACTTTAAATTTCCTAACTTGCATTTTCCTTCTGAACTTAGTTATTTACTATATAAGTATGTCCATTTTCACACACACACAAAAATTGCCAGGAGTTGAAAAAGTAGGACCAAAAATTATTTCCTTAAAACCTTTTTGTGTTTTGGTTACATGTGACCCACATGTGGTACCTGTCTGTGTACCACCCCATATGTGTGCAATGCCCTCAGGGGCCAGAAGAGGGCATCAGTTCTCTTGGGACTGGAGCTCTATGGGTGGTTGAGAGCTATCACACGGGTGTTGGGAACTCAATCAAGGTCCTCTTAGAGCAGCCAGTGAAACTTTAACCACTGAGCCAGCTTTCCAGCATTTCTCCCTCCAAAGTATTTCAATAGATACAAATTCTTAAAAAGAAGAGAGCCAATGAGGTGACTTAACATGCAAGTCTGATGACCAGAGTTTGATTCCCCCAAGTCTATGTAAATATGAAAGGAAAGTGCCCAACTTTACAATATTTTCCTCTGCTCTACACATATGCCATGACACAATCCCTGACCCCATCACACGCATATATACAATAAAGATAAAAAATAATTTAAATTTTAAAAAAATAGAGAAGTTAGGAAAACTCCAATGGTCTTTGAAGACTTTCTTCCTTCTATTCCATGGATGAGGACCAAGGAATGGAACTGAGCCACTGACAATTGTTCAGACCCTGGGTGAAGCCCTGTTCAGAGGCATGCTTCATAACTTTGACTTGGGCAAAGAAGCTTGATCTATGCCAGCAGGCAGGCAGCTTTGACCTAAGGCACACTGTAGACATTCAATATTAAGTTAGCAGAAGTAGCTGCTGCCCTCTGAGGATTGTGTGATCAATAAGTGTGAGCTAGTGATGCCTTTCATCTTCTTTCCACATTGAAAGCGATGGTCAATATTAGGACCAACTTAATTTTCTGCTACAGTGGGACCAGCCATGCAACATCGCTGATGTTGTACATGAAGTCACAGGTCTTCAACATACATCTTAGAAGAGTTTGTCAATGTGTCCAGTTAACTGTCCAGTTTTTCTTCTTATTCTTCTTCTAACAATGAACTCCACTACTTCCTGTAGTAACCTCTGCTAGAAGATATTCCCTTGTCTCTAAGGTAAGTTCTGTCCTAGAGGCTCTCAGATAGTTTGGTGTCAGGCAGGGCCCCTTTAATCTTCTTAAAAATTGAGAAGTCTAAAGAACTTTTGGGGTGTGTGTGTGTGTGTGTGTGTGTTGGGGCTGTTAGTACTTAACATTTTGGATTAAAACTGAAAAGGAAGCAGAGATGAGACAGAGACTTCTGACAAGATAAAGCTCCTGGTCCCCTCAGCCACTCCTTCAGCATAGTCTGGACAGTAAACCCTTCTCTCACAGGGGGTTGATCTGTCTGGGGTTTCTGCCACTTGCAGATAAAAGAGCACTGAACAATAAAGAATTAGTCTAGGGTAATAAACGATGAAGGCTTGCATTGAATACATCAAAGTGCTATTTCCTCCCTGCCTTTTGCCACCCATTAATTGAAAGCCTTCCGAGGAGTGATAAATTTAAACACAACTAACACCTACACTTCACAGCACCTTACCAGAGTTTCAAAGTGCTTTCACGCCCAGTATTTAATTTTCACTACAGTATGAAGTAGTCTGTTTTACATTCGTATGAGAAAACTGAGATGTGTCAAGCCTGTGAGACTTCACACAGCTGTGAAGTGGCTTAGTCTAGACCAAATCCAAATTGAAATCTCTGCATCTCTATGGCCAAAGTTCCTGTCTCAGGTGAGTCTATTTTATAACTATTTTATAAGTTGTATGTAGCACAAGCCTTCCCACATTCTCTTTCTCGTTCCTTTTTTTTTTTTAGACTCTATCCTCCTGCGAGGAGCGAGGCGCTGTCTATGAAGCAGAGACTCTAAAATGATCATTGCATTTGGCTGTGGCCTGCAGTTCAGAAGGCACGAGTGGGAATGAAATTAGCCCGCTAATATCACTCCTTGAGCTCTGTGATTGAAGGGCTGTGGCAGGGGGCCTAGGAAATGGGCCGGAACTGGAGAAGCTAATACTCTGCAGATAATCCAGACTTCGTGAACCATTGCCTTTCCAAGGAAAGCTTGTCTGCTCCGAGTTCAGGCGAGTAGATGAGCGAACTGCGGGAGTTAGATTCCGAGATCTTGGATTTGAAACATGCCCACAAACAAAGAAACAACAAAGTCAAGTTCTCATGGCGAAAGAAGAGGAGTTTGAAACGAAACCCCTTTTTTTTTTTTTCCTGTAAGGGCAGAAACTCCTAACACATCATTCCACATCGCTCAGATTTGTTATCCAGGGAGGTTGTTCGGACAGTTCGGGTCAGGCACGCCCGCGGCTCCTCCCAGAGTACTACAAATCCCATAAAGACGCGCGTTGCGGAAGGCGATGACAAAGCACGGGCTGATTGGCTGGGAAGGGAAGGGGCGAGCCTGTCGCCTCAAAGGGGCGGGGCGAGAGGCGGGGCGGGGCGCGGGTGGCTTGGCGGACACGCCCCCTCGCCAGAGGCCCCCTCCGCGCCGCTTTCCACCGCTTGCTTGCTCTCGGCGGTCAGAGAGGGCCGGAGCGAGAAGATGGCGAAGACGTACGATTATCTGTTCAAGCTGCTGCTCATCGGCGACTCCGGCGTTGGCAAGACCTGCCTCCTGTTCCGCTTCTCAGAGGACGCCTTCAACACCACCTTTATCTCCACCATCGGTGAGGGAGCGGCCGCGGCCCGGGACGGGAGCTGAGACCCGGGGGGCGGGTACCTGGGGGCCTGGGAGAGGGCACGCGAGGGCTTGGCGCCCCGAGAAGGGGACCCCGAGGGGCCGCCGAGAGGGCAGTGCGAGCCGGCGAGGCTCAGAGGGACGGGTGGGGACGCGGAACTGCGGGCGGACGAAAGGGAACCAGAGCAATCGGAAACCAGGGGTGTTGGGGACACGAGGGGCTCCGGGGCGGAGGCGGAGGCGTCCCAGAGGGACAGTGTCGGGGGAACACAGGAAATCGTACGGAAAGAGAGAAGGAGGGGAGAATGGAAACGAACATGGATTAGAAAGACAGGGAAGAGGAAGGAAATGTGAAGAGGGACATGAAGGGCTGAGGACGTGAGAAAGAGGGGCTTCCAATGAAGTAAAGGGACAGTGGACCCCAGGGAGAAGAGAAGTGAGACTAGGAGGCGGTCAGCAGGGAATTGAGGGGAATGAATGAATGAATGGTCAGGAAGCAAGACATGATGCGATCTTGGCTATAAAGGTGTCAACAGAGATGCCAAGAGAAAACGCAGAAGAAAATTGTAGGTGGGAGAAGGGCGACCCGAGGGCGACAGGAGGCTACTTGGTGGAGAAAGTGAGGGAGAACTGAGTGTTAACTAGAAAGGAGAAGGGGAAGCAGCGGATGTAGTGCAGGGGTTGAGAGATCAGAGAGGAAATGGAAAACGCGGGGCTCAGGACTTTCCCTAGTAACTGGGAACGCTGGTTTCCATTTTCTCTTGACATCTTTGAATCAAGAAGATTTTAAAAATGACTAATGACAGAGTAATTAATGTCTACAGGGTATTAAAAATCTTTTGAGTGTTCATAGGAATTAGAGGGGCTGGGGACTCTAAGGGGGGATGAAGTGGTTAGACATTTATTGTTCACCGCTTTACTTCGTGCCTTGGGAAGCAGCAGTTTCTCAACTTTCTAAATTCTTGAGCTTGAGTAGTTAGTAACGTCTAAGCCAAGCGACTGACTGTAAATTCCGCCTGCCTCCCTGAGTAGTGCCCTTTGATTCTACTTTGTAGGTGAATCATACTGTATATTTATTTCCCAATTACTTGTAATCAGTTCAAGAAAAAAGTTTTCCACTCTTCACTGGGAGCTGTCCTTCTTCTGTCTGTAGTAAAAGATGTTGTGTGCCGGTAAACAGGATTTTTAAGTTGTAAACCGGAGAGCATGTCAAAACTGATTTTAAACCTTCAGCAGAATGGTCTTACCATTTTTTCCATAAATAGCTGCAGTCAATTTTGTGTCCCAGTCATCAGATTTTTGGTTGTCTGGGGAAATCTTTCTGGTCTCTAAGACTACCTTTCCAGGTGATCCACAAGTAGCGGGGAACTCGTGTGTTGACAATAAGTATGTTTAAGGGTCTGAAAAGTCACCTCGGTGGTTAAGAGTACTCAGTACTCGCTGCTCTTAAGGTACCAGGTTTGGTTCATAGCACTCACCTGGCACCTCATACTGCCTGTAATTCTAATGGAATCCAGCACCCTCTTCTGGCCTCCGTGGGGACTAGAACTTTATTTACATGGTGCACATACATTTGTACAGGAAAAAAAACCACTTAAACACTTGAATTAAAAACAAAACAAAATCTATGTTTAAATATTTGTGACATTTTAAAATAAGGTGACATTTTAAAAGTAGGTATAGAGCACTTTCCAGTGTAAGCATTGGTAAAGACTCTCCTTAGTTTATTCTGATTTTTCTCCTACAGACTGAATGGAAATCTGGGTGTTGTGATGTCTGGGCGTAAGGAAGTTTGAGTTGCAAGTTCTTGGCAGTTAGTCTTGAGTTGGACTTTTCTGAGGAAGCAGATTTTAAATGTCATCTCCCATCTCACAAGTGTATTTGTAAGAGGCTTGATGAAAGCTGGTACAGCAACTAAAGGACATTCGTTTTTGGTATCAATTTCAAAACCCCAAATAACTCTTTTAGTGTTGAATTCATATTTCAGTATAGATTGTAAAGGACAGTTTCTAAGAAGTTAAGGATGGGGGATAGCGTTTGGTCCATGTGTGAACTTCTCAGAACTTTCCTCCTGCCTTGAAACTAAGTCTGTGGCAAGAGAGATGGCTCAGCAGCTGAAAGTACCTCCTGCTCTTCTAGAGGACCCAAGTTTAGTTCCCAGCACCATAGCAAGTGGCTCATATATTCCTGTGGGCCTGTAACTCCAACTATAGAGCTCCTGCCTCCTCCTCCTCCGGCCTCTCTGGGCAGCTGCACTCACGTGTGCACATCTCCCACGCAGGCGCACACAGGGACACATAAAACTTTTTTTAAAAGGAAAAACATGAAAATAAAGTGAATAAATCTCACTAACACAGCATGTTAAATTCCTTGGTTTCCTCTGCAGTAGATTTACTAGCTCCCTCCTCTCCCCCTCCTCCCCCATTTTGTCCCACATTTCTTGTAAGGACCTTTTAACACTATCTTTTAAAAATGACTTTTCTTGGCTAGGGGTTTAACTGGATTATACAGTATATGTTTAACACGGATGAGGCCTTGGACTTAATCCCTAGCTATTCCCTCCCCAACATATTTGTTTGTGTGTGTGTGTGTGTGTATGTGTGTGTGTGGTGTATTGTATTTCACACTTTAAACGCTACATTTAAAGCATTAAAGCGAGTGTCCTTCGACAGCTCAGATTAGGTGTGTGTTACATGGTGAGCTCATGGGAACTCTTGGTCCTTGTACTCTCTGTGTGGTGAATGTGGTGACAATAGCGTCAAGCTGTGTCTTCAGTTGATAGGAGGAGGGAAACTCCCATACCTTTTACTGAGCCCCAGAACTCCAACAGGAAGTGGTAGCAGACAGCCAGAGAACTTAATCTACCTGAGAGCAAATGAAGTTCCACAGGCTCCTGACTGACCACAAGCACCAACTTGAAGTGCTCACATTTCTAGTGGCAGTGTCACTCCCGCCAGGCCCCACACCACACCTCCAATATGAAGTTGTGACAGTTGGTGACCCTTCTTTTCCTATTTAATTAAATTTAAGTGCCCATTTGTGTGAAGTCCTGGGCTTTCCTGTGACTGGGTTTGACAAGGTCTTCTTGAAGTACTGCTACAAACTTGATAAGCACCACGCCCCAGGAAAGATCCCTTCTGAGGGCCTGTGTTTGTATGTATTTGGCAGATATATCCCATGTCTGCTTTTTACTACAAGGATATGCTTTTGTTTTAATCGTGCATTGCTGGTGTTTGTTTAAAAACAGTTCTTTCGTCTTTAGACTGTGGATGGAGTCCGTCATCATGAAAGAGGAGACAGTCATTTTGAGTCTAGGTTCAGTTGTCTCGGATATTCTTTTCATTTCTCTTAAGATTTGCCACTTGGAGTCCTTTCTGTTCTTTGTCCTGGTAAAAGGTAGATTTTCTTTCAAGTGGCTTTCTGGAAATCTTTCAGTCTGTTAGTCAGATAATACTTGCAAACCGGGGAGTAAAGATGAGTTAGTCACTTGAAATGACAGGCCTAATCCCTCAGGCCAACTAACTAGCTTTTTACGTTCAAATATTAGAAAATTGAAAAACGAAAACTTTAGATTGGCTCCAGCCCCTCCTCTTATACCATCATAATTAACATTTAGGTGAATACTTTTAAATATTAAGATAGAAATGATGAAACGATGTCACTATTTATTATGCTTCCTGAAGGTTGTGGGTGCATTTTAATGTGGGTCCGAGGAGCACCTCGACATCCTGAAATGACCTTGTATTGACCGAGGTGCTGGTAGAAGAGAGAGGACTCAATTCTGAATTCTGTCCGGCAGTAGGACCTTCTAAGCTGATTATCTCCCCATCTTTCCTCTGCCCTGCCCCCCTTCTTCCTGTTAGGTATTTCCTGAGTGGTTTCATTATTTCGTGTAGTCATTGTTTGACGTGGAGAGAGTTGTAGAAATTATCCACTTTATGCCCTGCCTCGGCTTATACAGATGCAAATTCCTCATCTCCAGAAGAGCCACTGCTGACACTCTGGATCAAACGGGACTCTTTGTCTTGTTCACCAGTGGATGAGTGTGAGCCTCTCTGTAAATCCATGTTTTCCCAAGACTAGTTGGACTTGCACATGTGTCTGTCAGTGTGGGAAGTTAAGGTGTTGCCACCTTGGTTAGCATTCTGCTAAGGGAAGTGGTCCTGAGAGACCCCACAGGAGTAACTCAGCATCCAGCCTTTGGTCTTTCTCCCAGGCCTGGAGTTTCAGGTCAGGAGAGCATCGTGCACCCTGCCATTAACATTCCTTCCACGTGTGAAATAACTCATCAGATCATCTCATAGCCCCACGCTGGTGATTGTTGATGTGAAATGTCAGCTAAACACTCTGAGGCACACCATTGTGTCTACACCGCTGCAGTCTCTCTCCAGGCGTCTTTTGCCTTTGAGTCAGTTGATCCAGTGTAGCCCGAGAGTCAGGCTGGGCCTGCAGCCTGTTTTGTGCTAAGAAATGTTTTCTTGTTTTGTTTACTGCTTTTTAACATTTTAAAAGAAGTTATTAAACATAAGAACAACAAGGAATATGCAACGAAGACCATCTGTGACCCACAGTGCCCACAAGTGTTTCCTAACTGTTCCTTCATAGAGCAAATTTCCTGACCCTTGCTTAAAATGTAAAGCTGCTTTTGGTTGATCTTATTTTAAAACTTTTATCACGACTCACTGGCTAAATAACCAACTGTCATATTTACATTTTTATCCAAAATGATGTCAACATCTGGCCGAGCATGAGCCAGATACATGGAGGAATTTGATTCTCATTTTCGTAGTTGTTTTCCTTGGTTTCAACTTCTCAAACTAAAATACCAAAGAGCATGCAAGTTCAAATGGAACATTTTGTGCATAAAGCCTATTTTAATGTCATTACGTTCTTCCAGGGCTCCGGGTAGACTTCCCATTTCGGTGCTAGTGTGGATTGCAGTGTTAGGTAGAAGTAGCCTTCGTGGTGGGTGATAAAGGGTTACCCCTT